AGAATATTGGGCTGCTCAACCTCAACATGGTCACTATGTAAGACCAGAGTCGTCGGGTACGGCGTAGATACTGATGCATAGCGAGAAGGTATGTTTATAGCAGAAACTTTGGCCGTACAATCGTGTTGTATACAAATGTTGATATGCTACCTACCGCGACGCCATGTCGTGTTGATCCTCTAACAAAAGTGAGCGTATGTATAATTTATGGATTTCGGGTCGCACCAATTACACATGCTACATAATTTGCGCGGTGCATATGGCGATAGAGTCCTAAATGTACTTTGTGTTGCTGCAGCTGTTAAGCCGATTATTGATGCTTTGGAACGACGTTCAACCGATAGAGCTCATTATCCTCCTGTTTCAGTCCATGCATGCCTTTTCTCAAAAATAAAACGCACGGATATTGAAGTGTTCGAGCGATAACACTCTACATGCCGTTTTAGCTGCAGTACAAAGTTAACGGCAACTACATGTGTTGACAGGAGCTCTGATGCGATCACAGACCATATGCACTCCCCGATACAAACACGCGACGAACTACTATAACCCTCAAATCGAAGTCTGCTCACCTAATCCTGGAGTCGCTTAACAACCCTAAAATGCGAAATGATACAGGCTGATGACATGATAAGATGCTTCACTCCACTAACATAGTCATCAGCCGCGCAGACAGCTCCAATCGCTGCCCGACAACTTGAGTTCTTGAACTCTTACTAGTCATATAACTTCATTCCCTATGAGCATATAAATGTGCGCAACAGTGGCTACATTCTCAACGCCACAAAGCAAGGCGACCATGAGGAAGGCACATGAGAGCAGCAATGATTATCTGCTACTTAGCTATTATTTAAATTTGAAAATTCGTACGACAGCTCGCTTTGTCTGCACTGCAGAGCCAGTCTGAACTGGTAGCGTAGGGACCAGAAGCAATGGCAGCTCGCAGAGTTACCACTTTTACTCGTTCCTACTAATGATCAGCATAGAATCGTCGGGGTGCTGTTAGTTTGTAGCAGTAAAAGCTATGCATTGAAAGCAGTATCTCTCCAGGCAAGTCCTACTGTTTACACTCAGTCAAACCAAGTCTCCTATTTTCTTACGACGCGATAAAATTCGGGAGTTGTGCGTGACAACAGTATTATCCACTTTCCAACCGACGCACCTCACCTGATAAGAATTCGGCATACAACAATGCCCCCATAGGCGTTTGGTTGCAAATTGAAAATGCACCATCCCTGCACATTGTAGAAGCCAAATTAAATTTTCTGTACATCTGGTGCTGATCAAAAAGTAATCTTTAAGAACAGTAGGTGTCATGAATGCCAAGTTTAATGATACTTGTTATGACAGCAGAGGCTGGTCTGGGCCAGCTCGTAGATTCATCGCGATTATTGTCAACACGGCCACTCTGTCCGTTCCAAAAAAATGTTGAAGCTGACCTTAGATCGTTAGTAATCTTTATTTGAATGGAGGAGAAGGTTGATGAGATTGACGATGAGTGGGCATTTAAATGACAGCTGTGGAGCGCATCCATATACTAGGATAAAGTTCGGATGACCCAAACGGTCCGCAAACGGTGGAGAGAACGCTGTGGGACTAAGCATGTCTTTCAGTACAAACGGTAAAATAGAAAGGTAGCGAAATAAATACCCTCGGTCATCCAGTGGGGTATATCACAGGACTTCATTTTCAAGCCAAGCTGAAAAAGGTTGGTCAAAAATCTATGGTAGCAGTGTACACATCACAAAAGAGTTCATGAATTCAATTCTACTGCGATAATGTATGATCTGCTGCTTCTTTTGCGGAAGCAACTAATAGACATTTAGGAGCAATGATAAGATCGAAAGGCGAACCCAAGCCTCCGGATGATAGAACAGTACAATACAATGTACTGGAATAGCTAGGTTGCGCACCAAGGCAGTTGTCAAGTTGCGCTTACGTACGTAGGAATACAGAAATATATGGATATGAAAATATGCAGCCAGTTAGCGCTTGCTAGTCATCTCAAAATAGTCACTTCCAAACAAATGGGGTCAAGTGTAAGCTGAGCTTCTTGTCATGAAATTTGCATCAGCCTCTATATCGTAAGGAAGTACTCACCAAACGCATCCACATCAAGCTTCAATACATACTAAGGCTCAGTGGCATATACGGCAGCACGGCATTACCGGCGCTCTTTTCAACAAGGCTGAGCAGCACCTGGGCGTCAGATGTAAAAAATGCGAAAGATAAGTTTGCTGATGTTATCGATAAATCGCAACATCACATACGAACGAGAAATGATGTCTAGTGCTATCGATAGCCGGGCTTGTGGACGAGTTAGCAGTCCCGGCATGTCAGCAGGCCTGTGAGATCGAGATGTTCCCTGTTCAAAAAATTGTCTACTCTCTGCAAAATATCAGTTTATTACGAATTTAGAAGCCCTTTACAAGATATGATTTCGCTTCCAAAACTGATGACTTTTGGAATTGTTTACATACCTACAAAGCCCGAGAGCGATCTGGTAAGATCCATATATTCCCCATAAACACACTACTTTTCACTGATACCCATATCATTTCCTAGAGATCGACGCTCTTACTCAATGTCTGTAGCGTTGATCAAGTTTACAACAGATTGCGTAGAAATCGTTTCGATGTGGAAAAATTGTTTCCCAATAACTCTAAAGCGTGTAGATGTGGTGTCCCAAATAGTCATGTTCTATAGCGATTTCTGATGGTTACGAATTAGGGCCCACACACACATTTAAACGCATGTCCATTCTTATCCATACCAGTGATCTCACACCCTACCACTTCAAATTCCCGATAATGGTACTTGTATCTAGAGCACATATAACGTGAGGTCAAGAGCGATAAAATATAGTCAATCGATGTAAGATGAACAAAACTAAAATAAAAAAGCCGCAGCGCGTCATTTACTTTGTTGTAGGACCACAATCGCCATAGCATGTTTGCAGGCTGTTTCTCAATGGTGGAATGGACCACAGCGTTGCTGCTTGCTGCCATCGCCTTATACATACAAATTTAAATGCTAAAAACTCATCGTCGAAATTCGTGATACAAGCTATCTATATCTACTGGAACGGGGTAGAGTCCTGAACGGATGTCTGCTTTCGTCCAACGGTTTCGACTGTGCTGTGAAGAATGCGGTGTCGATGAGCTAGCAAATCACGTTTGATAGTTCCACTCTTGCTGTCAATTTCTTTATAGAATAAACTAAAATATATGCAATGCACCCGGCATTGTAGTCTGCGCACTTCAAGTCGTACTTCTGGCAGCGATTGTTTATTTTCAGTACGAGAAAGACTCATGGGCAGCCAAGGAGTAGATAAATGTGCTGTAAGCACTATAACTCCCGATATAACCAAAATCCTCACCACGAGCCAAATATTTTTCCTCTGATCTCCCGACTTCGGTCCGCAACGGCTTGCCTAAACGCTTCTGCATTGGCAGCTTTATGTAAGTGATCTGCAAATGAAGTGCATATTAAGGCGTTGTAGCACCTTTTTTTCGCGCTAGAATGCGGCTGAGACCATGCTGAGATGGAATTATCAACTGATGCCCCGGCGTTACAGCTCCAGCATGTAACATCCAACAGCAGATCCTGTACAAATTTAATACAACGGGGATCCACATCCTAGAACTTTATGAGAAGATATAATATTTGAGAGTTTGCAACCCCAAAATTTTTTAAATGGACGCTTCATGCACTATAACCCGATAGACATCCGCAACCTGCAAGACTATCTTGCCGAGACGACTACTTCTTACTTTCTGGATATGCGCGACATCGTCAAAGACCACCTGTCGAGTCAACTTAAACAAGAGCATACCAGAGCCAAGAATCTCTTGAGGTTGCTGTCGTGAAGCTCAGAGAGCAGTCGAGTCGCTTATAATAGTCTGGCTGCAACATGACGGATATGCGCAGGAATTCGTTCGGCACTACAGCAAGCGACGAAAGTTGGGTCAGCCCGCAGACACTAATTGGTTCAGCCTGCTCAAGAAGATTTCTTTAGACAAGCACATGTTGGAATATACTCTCTGACAGGTCATAAGATCCTGCAGGTCAAGCGCAATACGTGTTGCAGGTAAGTTCGACCTCACTTGATTGACTAAATATGTGACAGGTTGACACATGGGACGAAGAGGCGGACGCCATGTGACAGGTTGTCACATGGGATAGGGAGAGGCGGACGCCATGTGGCATGTTGTCACATGGGATAAGGTGAGGCGGACACCATGTGCAACTCGACATGGTCTACTTGCGGTTCTGTTTGGCTAAATGCATAACGTAGCGCTGACGAAGGAAGTAGTAAACACTGACGGTATGTTACTTTTACTTTCCTCTACCTTTGCACAAGTGCAACTGTAACATCTCATTCTGATGGTATAGGCAGTGCGATGCTTCACATCATAATAACCAGATTTTTACGATAATAAAGAGAGCGAGGCAGACTTGATCATCCATCCATTCAGGTTGCGATGTATCGAATGGTTCATAAGCCCGGATGATAAGACAATGGTCCTCAGAGTCTTGTGGTGTACGGGCTATCTACCTACGTTGTCACTCTCGGGATTGTCCGGCTATGCTGCTGTAGCCTAGTGCCAGACGTGTACGTTTGTTTACAATCTTTGTATGGTAATTGAATCATGGGACCTCCGATTGCACAAAATAACCAATTAACATGGGCCTACAAAAAGTGTGTGCCCAACCTGTCGGGACGGAGGTATAGTTTTCTTTGTGAAGCTGATCATTTCGCTCGAATGGCTTTTGGCAGGGTATACTTTTATTCAGCGTTAAGTAACACTTACAACAGACTGTGAAGTGGCATAAGTGCACAAATAGGTCCGACGCCACGTACATGTCGCAGGGTCAAGCAGCCAATACAAACACAGCTGCCGCCGTGTCCACGTTTGTACCAAACATGCTCACTTTTCATTTGGCGCGACCCCTCTCAGCGTCCCACCGTCTATACGCATTTGACCCGCCCAGCCACTATGCAGGTCCACCCATTTGTCCTTTTCGCGATTGTTGTGCCGCTTGTCAGCGCTCTCTCTCCTGCGGCCTCTTTGGGACTCGGTCTGGTGTTACCCGGCGCTCGTGACTTTGAGTCAAGCACTGTCACGGGACTTGGGAGGTTACGTTCAACTGACGAATTCGTCCGGGAGCAAAACGACGGTCAGGCCGACAGTTTCGTACAGATCCTTCGCGACATTTTCAAGCCGCCGAACCCCTACGAAAAGTACTTCAAGCAAACAAACTCCATCGGTGAAGCCTTCAATATGTTGAACCTCGGCTCTCAACCCGTTTACAAGAAAGGCAAGATCAACAAGAGAGACGTCATCCGCCTTTTCACGGGTCGACGATTCAAGGCTTGGTCCAAGCATGTCATAATGAAGAGCGAGCGAAACCCGTACGATGACATGTTTGAATACCTCAACAGTAGGTTCGGTGATGAGAACTTTGCAAACATAGTTCAGGTGCTGATGGATGCGAGAAAGACACGCAAACTTGGTATGGAGCTGGGAGAGGCAATGAGGATGTACTACCTTGCAAAAAGTATGACCGGCGGAAAAGTCGTGATGTGATGACACGGACACCTTATCTGTACCTGCAAATACACGGTCGCGCGAGTAGGTGCGCAACCGAAAGAGCTTACAGTGGAAAGAGGTGAAATAAAGCTAAAAGACTTGCTAGTGCTAGTGTTTAATATGCGTCTCCGTCTAGTAGAGCGCAGTCTCACCGTATTATGCACAGGCTTATGGTTGATGAGCTGGAGCGCATCTGAAGAACCGTCAGTGCATTAAGCGCGAATGCACATTGCGCGCGCCGTTTCATGGCACCAGATAACGGTGTGAATACCGCGACCTGGCGCCATGGAACGACGTAGCAGGCACAAGCCTGACGACAGCACACTGCGTATGAACGCGTGGCCTTTACACGACGAGGTAGATACAACGACAAGACGTAGTTGTTTGCGGGTTTGATTAGTCTATATCGAGTCTCTTGTGCTATCTCAGCATCCACGTCGACGCGTCGCAAAAAACAAATCACTCGCGATCATTCATACGCCAGGAGGTGGTAATGGTCAGATGGTCTGTTTGCACGATTTAAACTGTGCGCCTCAACCTCTGCATTTCGCTAAGCCAGATAGCAGCGCCGGGAGACCCGGAGGCTAATCGTGGCTGGTCTCTAGTAAAAGAGACATTCTAGGTATCGATCGGCTCGACAAATCGGGCTGTCGGCCGAATTATGACACTTGATAGGGTCAGAGATCCCTCAAGCTGTTGACAGCCAGAAGTCTGTGTCGTATGCTATTGCCAAGGCAACAACACCGATAAGGGGGAATCCCCCTTCCTTGACGTGGAATGCGAACACCGGAGTGACTGCAAGGCGTAGGGAACGCCAACCCGCCGTAATATCTCCCCTAGAAGCGCATCTATCCGCGATGGTGGCTCCCATCGGCCGCTAAGGGGACCCTCAACGTGGAGTGTGCGACCGCCGCAGCGGCGACACGTGGCGCGGGGTACGCCTCCAGTCCGTAAAACACCCCTGCTAGACCGCTTGCGCGACCCGTCGGTCCCCTGCGCACACACCCGAGACAGCGAGCGCAGCGTGCCCGTGTCAGAACTTCGACCCGGTCGGCTCCCCTAAGGAAGGATTCCCGCCGGCGTGGCCGCCCCCGAAGGGGGAAGGACTGGTTTGACCTGAACCGTGAAATTTGGGAATGATACTTACGCCAGGAGCTGCCGAGGCTATCGACTCAAAGCAGATGGGGAGACACGAGCAGACTGCTGGATGCTGAGTGCGCCGCCTTTTTTACGTTATTGTGGCGTGTCTGCCTTCTCCAACGTTCTAACGATGCGCGATGCACTCGAAAACTTGTGCACGTCTGCTCGGCAAGACGCGCAAGTGCGAGAGAGGGTGCATGACCGCCTACGAACATCGGAAAATGTCCCACATGTCTGAGATCTCCTGAGCCAGGACTCAAGAGCTCCGGATCTGTGAGCAGTCGCAGCTGATTGTTGCAAAATCCAAACTGTTGCGTGGTCCGACGAGGGGTACACAGGTCGACACAGACATGCAAATGAGCCGCGCGGACGACTGTGTCTAGTCCTCGACATTCGTGTTTTGCTCACGCTGCGGGTTGCCGCATTCCAGGCACTGAAGAACAGGAGACGCATGCAACGCCGTTGTCCGCACTCATCGAAAGCTGCGTCGTTTCGCTCGCTTCACCGGTGCGTAAAAAGAAGGTCCTCATGATAAACCAAAGACGATTCCAGACCTTGACCCCGTCTTCAAGTCGCCCTGAACACGGTGTTGTAGCCGATGTCGTTGCTATCCGGTAACATAGGAACCAGACGATTTCTTGCACTGCTAAGATTAAGCCTCGCACAAACGTGCGAGGACAGGTCTGCGCATTCCGTGCTCCAATCTACTGACCAACAATTTTTCCCCGATACAAGCGTGTCCTGTGGTAGTCTCAACAGATGTGAGTCAACTTTTACTAACCCCGTGAAGACACGCCGGAAAACCCGCAAAGCTATTGTTATCCTGCCGCACGCATGGCAGAGGTTCAGCTGCTCGGTAGCTCTTTGGCAGCAGGTCCATACTTGGTCATTTGAAAGACCATTCACGTGATTCCAAAGTTGAGATGGCCCTTGATGTACTGCATCCCGCAGCCAGGGGTCGAGATCAACGACTGCTTCCAATCCGTGTGACCGCAATTGTAATGCGACAGCGATTTGTCGTGTAGAATGCCCAAACGCTACGCAGGATATGGATTTCAAATAGATATCGTTGCCACGGAATTCACCCACTGCTCAAGGAAGTGTGTGATGGCGAGGATGAGAGTACACACTACGCCGTGCTGTTGGAATTTGGTGGCCTATACCTTACTGTCCACCTTAGACTCCGTTGCGAGCTCGGGTAGTAGAGTGATAAAGAACCAGTGAAACTAATGATGGCACCTCGCTGTATGTGAAGCTGACTATCCGCCGAGCACGTTTGCCGCCTGCACGTCTCGACAACGGTCCGCCGCCACACCGTGGACCCAACGAAGTCTAAATGGAACGGAGATGCATGGCTGTAACTGCATGGGGCAGCCCGTTACATGGATTTGTCACTTTAAGAAACAATGACAATGAAGAATATTATGTTGAAGATTCTTTAAACAATATCACCAATAGTGGTGATACGAAGGGTCGACCAAAGAGTCTGTTCATTGGTTGATACCTTGATGATATCAACCCACCAATCGCCGCAGGACGCGCGCAATGAGTGGTGACGAGACGTCACCATACACTCAGTTATATTAGCATAATTAAGTTAAGTCAAACAGAGAGACAGTGGTTTAAAGATTTAATTATATTAATATAACAGTTCTACTTTTACCCTACCTACGCTTTATCGTTTGCCTCGTGTACGTCTGTCGGGGCACCCAAAGCCCTTGCGTTAAGTTCACGCAAGGGTGTGCCCCGTTACACCTGGTAGCACTTTGTAGTCCTTCCAAGGACCACAACATCCTACATGAACATGTTGGATGGTGAAGAGAGCTTTCACGCCATGCGTGAAGGGTTTACCCATTTGAGTAGCATCGAATGGGGTGCGGTAGAACGAATGAGTTCTACCGTAGGCGAACTCGTCGTTAGCGCCATATTGGAGTCTCTAGACAGAGACCGACAACATGCCGCTATCGACAAGTTCGTTCAACATGAACTTGTCACCGAAAGGGAGAAAGTAGCCTTGCTTCACCAGCAAGGCTCTCAACAGGCCGAGCAGTTGAGAGAACTCGGTGCTCAACAGACGGGGCTGTTGAGACAGCAGCAATTCCATGCTGCTGTGGGCGGGACGGCACATGCGCGTCGTCCCGAAGTCATGAAAGTTGACATCTCCAAGTACAGTGGAGTCCCGGAAGACTCCCTGTTACTGTGGTTTGTCGAACTCGACAGAGCCTTAAGGGCTTATCGCGTCGAAGATGAGCAAATGAAACTCACATTTGCTCACCCCACTTGGCAGGACGTGCCAAAATTGGTCCCTGGGGCTCGAGAGTGGCGACCCAAACGTGTTTAGGCCGCCAGATGACTTGAAGTCCCGATTCAGACAAACGTTTGAGCCGCCACGGGCTGAGTTCAGGGCTCGTTTAGAGCTCCTGAAACTCAAGCAGGGTAAGCGTGATGTGCACGCTTACGCTCAACATATACGACTCCTCGCGAGTAGTATAACTGCTAACCCAGTCCATGAACACACGTTGATAGCGGTGTTCATGCAAGGGTTCGCAGAGGGGCCCGTCAGGAGCCACCTGTTCCGCCTTGAGCTGAATACGCTGGAAGATGCGATATCTGTCGCGGAACAGGAAGACTTTATCATGAGACAGACTCATGCTAGCTCACACTCTTATCGTCCACCGAGACGACAAGAGATCGGAGGTACAGAACCAATGGACCTCTGCTATGTTGAGAGCGAGAGACCTCGCTCTTCGAACAACAAGCGAATGCAGAAATGCAATCGCTGTCAGAAGTTAGGGGACTACGCATACGAATGTAGTGCTCCACTTCCAGTACCAAACAGTACTGAGCGAAATGGACGACCATTCGCCAGAAAGGGCAATGGGCGTGGGTCCAGCGCTGTTGCGAAGCCGCAACAGCGAGACGGACCATCAAAAAATGGTCGGGGTCAGTAGGGGCGGAGCGCCCTACTGATTTAGCAACCTCAAGGGAATTTGCAAATCTCTTGACGAAAGTTGCTCCAGATACACAATCATTGTGTGTCTCTGCACCTGGTGATGACGTTTCGCTCATCACCTTGAAGTTGGAAGCGACAAATGATTTGTCGATTCGTGCCCTAGTAGACTGTGGGGCGTCGAACAACTTTGTTCGTCGCCAGTCACTAGAGGGTCGTAGGCTCAAGTTCGTTGAGCGCGACACTCCCCCTCACGAGGATGACGGTGCGCCTTGCAACAGGCGCATCGATAACCGTTGAGAAACGTGTAGTAGGAATCCACTACACGTTAGAGGGCGAATAGTACGATGATGACTATATCGTACTAGATTTAATTGACAAATTTGATGTCATCCTGGGATTACCTTGGCTCAGAAAGTACGAGCCAAGGGTGAGCTGGCAGCATCGATCCGTGAAGATGTCTGCCGCTTGTTCATCAGATGGCCATCTGATGAACATCTTGAAGCGTCCACAAGCGTGTGGATGTTCTGCGAGTGAGTGCGATGGCCTCACTTGCGGTACGGTCGTTAGCACGACTGCACAAGATCACAGTGTAGTTGATCACTACACTGTGGAGCAATCTCCCGGCGGCTGTACAGAAGTACAGGCTGCGCCGAAGGTCCACCACTCGAGGAAGTCGAGTGGACCGGGACATGAATGCATGCCTAGCGGGCAGCATCTTAGAAGAAAGAAACCTGTTGCCCCCAAGGGGCAACATGGAAATCCTAAGTCGACTGGAGAGTCGACCGTAGAGGATCGGTGCCTGACTGTGGTTGCACAGCCACAGTCGGAAGACGTCGAGGGAATATTTCTCCACGTACTTGAGGAAGAAATTCCTCAAGAGTCACTTGCTGAAGGATCAGGCCCT